TTTTTCTGCCACGTCCTTAGCATCATCAGAACATAACACCGTGATGAAATGGCGGAATGTTAGGGAAAAGGGGTTGGGCAAAATATTTATCGTCAGCTTTGTTTGGTGGGCTCGCTCGATCATGGATTAGAAAAAGTTTGTTAAAGTGGTATATTTGACTACTTTGAAATCTGTTCAGGAATCATTCCGATGCCCAGAACTCCTTGAATAGATGAATGAACGCTTACTGCTTTAATGGGATGTCAAAGATAATTCGTCAAAGATAATTTGCGCTTTTTAGCAAAATAAAATAAAACTGGTGAAGTTCTCCATTTGCTTATATATAATGGAAAGAATTAGCAGGCAGACGAATTGCCATTGAAACCAGTAAAAAACTACAAAGCAAAGTCGATTTGGTCAAACTGCAAGAAGACCGCTTACCACGTCACATTGACCAGATTCTTGCATTAATGTTTAACGTCAGCTGAACTTCAAAAAATACGCTGAAGCTTAGATTATTGATCTTTGAAACGTTCATTTTCCGTTCTGGCAACATAATTGATATACCGAATTCTTGTTGACGTAATTCGCGACAGTCATTGCGAGAGTTTATCAAGCATTGCCATAAGAAATCCCTCAATCAAGATGTGAAGGGCGGCTTATTCTAGGGATCTGTTCAGTGGTTTATTAGCTTCTTAAAGTCGGTTGCTAGCAGACCTAGAAACATGATAATCCATGCATTGCAGATGCTTAAATATTATGGATCCATGGCCTGCTTAAATAATCCCCTAGACAGCTAAAAGCAAAGGGGCGTGTCTATACACCATGTAATCTGGTAGTGAAAGAAAAATTTTTTCCTAAACTAGGAAAATCTGCTAGTAAACCGACAAGATCGTTGCTTATTTTTAAGTAATCATGATTTTTGTTGCCGATGTATAAAGTAGTAGAATACATGCAAAAACAGATTTTCTACTGGCATCGTACTGCTCATGAAGGTTTCTGAAATGAAGCCGTACAACGTGGTTACAAGTGACTGTAACTTTAACTATGCAGGTCGTACCAATGAAAGTATAATCCTCGTTGGTGGTCTGTGAACACGTGTGATGGTCCCTTTTGCGACATTAACTGTTTCATGCATTTCTTGACCTGTCCACGGTTCAGCATTAGTTCTCTTTTCTAGGATGCTGATTCTTCGTAGAATCTCAATGATAACCGTATTTTATACTTTGAAAAATACGGAAATGCTTTAATTTTACCTTTTATTCATAACAGGCAGAAATGGTCGTGCTATGTTGTTTTGTTGCTACTGGATGCCCTACCATGTTACAGACAGACATGCATGCTTGATCGATAAACTTTGTTTCAATCTCGTTATATTCTGTTCCGTCATGACGAGTTCTTGCCGTCTTCAAACCTGACTGTTTTAAGTTTTAGATCGGTTCATATCAATTCGTTTTTGAAGTATTATCACTTTTTTAAAAGTAATTGGTGTGTTTTCAATAAAGAAGTTTCTTTTGAACTTGGACACTGGTTTCAAATTAAATTTTGTTAACTCCTATTGTGTTTAGACAAATATTCATTCAGTTATTGTTAAAAACAGTGAACGCGGCCATCATTAATTTTCAGCATGATCCAACGGTGTTGACATCACAAGATCCTGCTGTAGCGTTGGCCAAACTTGTGATAATATTACCGCATCGGTTTGGTTCACGAGCCTTAATTGTGGCTTTCGTCAAGGGAATCTAATGAAGCATAAGTTGCGTTGAGGTGGCGAGCGCCAATAAAGTCGACTAGAGCGTGAACTGCACTTTGAAGTATAGCGATTCCAGGAATTCAGAGGCAATAAAGTTTATTAACACCTATGTAACGCATCAGCCGTGGCCATACTCAGCTAGTCGCGTGTTTTTTTCTGTTTATTCATCTTGTTCTGTTCGTTCCTCAGTAATGACTTCTGGAACTTTTCTTTTCTCTATCTGAGCGATGATTTCAAATCAATGCAGATTCCTTCTAAATTTTCTTTTGGAAAACACACCTAATACTCTTAAAAGGTTGAACTTGTTATGCATCTGTTGAACAACGTTGTTTAACGGTCTCCACATATATCATTCTAATGAAAGACTGAACAGAGCAATTAAGAAATTGTTGATCAGCGTTAGCCATATTCTTAAAATTTGAATAGAAACCGATGGTAAATGATTAATTCTTTAGCTACGTTTGTCAGCGCTGAAGCTTTCGAAATCTACTAAATTAGGTTTAGAAAGTAATTTACCTTATACTCGTCGGTTCTGCTCGGTTGTTTTAGAGCCAAGCTTAGCGAATGAATCATTTTGTAAAAAGCGAATTGCTGTGCCTTTTGTCAACTTAAATGTATTATGTATATATTTTTGTCAGAGCGGCTATTTCTGATTCCGAAATGCGCATATTTTACCCTTAATGCCCTCTGTTATTCAGATAAATTATGTCATTGTTTTTCGGTGTTTTGTATTTACCGTTCTATTTTTGCTCTTGTATATTTATTTTTTGATCTTTTGTTTCCTTTATTTGTGCTGTAAAGTGCAGATTCTTAAAAACGTTGTTAACGCTGAAAACTTTCACTTCAAGAACCGCCTTAAAAAATTCCTCAGATAAGTACTCTGCATAAAATGGCAATTATTCGCCCCCCCCCATTAAACATTCTTCAATTTTTGCATGCCATCGACAGTGCGAATATTTGGCCTCTACGGATGGGACCCAAGTTTTACATAACATTGAAATGCGTATGCTGTAGCACCCGAAAGACTTTTGGAAAATAAGAATTTTCTGCATTCTGACGTCTGGTAGCTAAATTTGAGAGAACGGAGCAAACTGAAAGATGATTTACCGTGTTACTGAAATTTACCAGTTAAAAAGGATGGTGGCGGTCACTTTTGATACCATAGTGAATTGCCTGAAAAAAGAATTACATTTGCATAAAAAGCGTTAAACTGCTCATCTGTATATGTAACTGACTAAAGAGTGCACTGTTTTAATGTACTTATAGTATTCCTACCATATTAGTTAGAGAATGATAAATTAATGACATCAGTCTGTGTTGGATATTGCCACTGTAGTGACAGGCTACTGTCGTTTCCTAAATGGTGTCTAAATACACCCTACTTCGCAACAAAGCTATGATTGAAACAGACACTTTGCTGGCTTGCAATACTGTCGGAATTTAGGTATTTTAAAGCTTGAGTGATAGTTAGCTTGTAACCGCTGTTATGATCAAACTCGAATATCATAGATTGTTAGTCATTTCTGAACCGCAGCACAGCGAGATGAATTCCTTGCATAACTTAATTAGCAGTTTTATTAGTTTTACGTCTTTTTGAACAGTTGCGTTAGTTCCTCAGCTTAAGTCGGCGTTCACATGAAGTAGGTAGCTGGAACAGAATCGGAATGCATATGTTCAGTGTACGACAACATATTGTTAGCTATTATAATGGTCATCAAATTTTAAATGATCGGCTAACAAGTTAAAGTCGAAGCTCGGTACTTATCCATCTGTTTCGCTTTATTGAGTCAAGATGCTTGACCTTCAGTTCCAGACACCGCCACAGCAGCAATCACACAGTTTACTGCAGAAACCTACCCGGACTACCTTTTTGAAGGCTCGTGAGAGACGAGTCGAAACGTCGGTACTGATCAGTCACCTGATCGACCAACTTATCCGTTTGCGTTGTCTATAAATAAACCGTGTTTATTCATTTTTCTGTGTTCTACCCGGATGATAACGTATTGGCGTTATTGTGTGATTCAACGAACCGAACAGTGCAAGTAAAATGACGGTTGTCGGAGCTATTAACATAAAATCGCCTTAAGCGAGCAACCCAAAAACTACCAACGCATTTAATCGCGATCTGTGAAATCGATTTCTTGAGTGATGTTTTGACTTCGAAGTATATTAACGAATCACTGCCGTCTTCTTGTGTTACTTGTTGACTATCTGTAACTATGCTAGTATTCACTTCGTACTTAGTGTGTTATCGGATTTGCTGACTGGCACTGCTGAATGTCACTGACTTTAAAAAATATTTATTTTCATCGTCTAAAGAACTAGACTTTGTTGTGTGATGAGCAGCTTACTACTTTAGCGCCAAGTACAGATCATTTTGATATCGCTTTTCTTTCAATGGTTAAATGCATGCAAAAAATAAATATGAACTAGTAAATGATATGTGAAGATAATGCTGAAGTTTCAATGATTACCGAAGTTAATGATTGGGATTACGTGATCTGTAGAAGTGATCGTAATATGATTTAAATTTCGCTTCTCCGACGGAGTATGAAGTACCTGCAACTTCATGGAATGTCTTTACTTCCATTTTTTGCACTAAGCGAATAGCAAAGTACGCCGTCATTAATGTTTCTTCAGTGATACTGTGCGATTAGAGGAGGTAATAATTCAGCAACAGCTGAGCGTAACCTTGATATATAGTGATGTATG